TCCTGGGGAACTAGTGACTCAGCAAGATCCTGTCTCAAAAAAAAAGTCTGGGAATGTAGCTCAGTGCCAAGGCCTGGGTTCCATCCCCAGACGTGGTGAGGGTTAATGAACTGCAAAACCACAGGTTTCACACAAAACATCCACACCTTCAAGTATCACGGCAAAATGATTCCCAGCAGTGGGAAGGCAGAAACAGTCCAAACGTCCACAACTGATGAAGGAATAAACAAGACGCAGAACACACCCACACACTGGACCTTACTCGGTAAAGAGAGGATGCACCCATACCTGCTACAGCGTGAACCCTGAAAACATGCACAGCCCACGAAGCCATTCATCAAAGACCAGGCTGCAGGATTCTATTATATAAAATACGCAGAATAGGCAAATACAGAAAGACAGAAAGTAGACTATCGGGGGCCTGAGGAGTGGGACAGGGATAAAGAGGCAGTGACTGTGGGAGGTGTGGCCCTCTTTCTGGAATAAGAAAACAGCAGAAATTCCCAGTGGTGAAGGCTGCACAGCTCCGCAGACTTCACTGAAAGCCCCGAACTGTATGCTTTCAGTGCCTGAACTGCATAGTATGTGAACCATATCTCAATAAAGCTGTCATTACAAAATTAATCGACAAGAAACAGATTTATCTCCCAACAGAGAAGTGAATCAAAGAAATGAACAGGCAATTTGCAAAAGAACTACAAACGGTCAACACACCCCACACAGAAACAAAAAAAAGAGTTTGGCATCCATCACTGGTAATCAAAGAAGCGCAAGCAACCACTTTAAGAAACAAGCAGGCAAAGATCTGCAAGACAGCTCCCCCTGCGGCAGGGGGCAGGGCTCCATCCTGAGGGCACGCTGCCAGGCTGCAGGGTCTAGGACTGCAGTTTAGTTTGGTGCTGCTTTCTCGGTGGTGCTGGGGTGGAAGCTACAGCCCCAGTCCTGCTGACCAAACTTTAACCACACTCACTGGTTGGGTAATGAATGCTTCCGTGTGAGCTGCTGGGTGAACCCGCAATGCACACCTGTGACCACCCCACCCGATGGGTATCTCAGCCAGGTACGGAGAAACTGTCCTGGAAAAACAATGTAGCTGGAGCCAAGCTGGAGCCAAGCGTGATGGCGCACACCTGTAATCTCAGAGCTCAGGAGGCTGAGGCAGGAGGATCACCATGAATTCAAGGCCAGTATGAACTACCAAGTAAGGGCCTGTCTCAAAACAAAACAATGAACGTAGGTGGAGCACCATCACCAAGAGAAGCAGCCTTGCTAATGACACCCTCTCCTACATGAAGCCCTCTAGGGGATGTTACTGGCGTGGGAAACCCAGAGGCTCACTGCCTCCCCAGGGCAGTGGCCACAGAGGAAAAAGTGACTGGAAGAGCTGCCGGACTCATGAACGCTCAATGCCCCCCTGTGACAAGGGTGTGCATGTTGTCACCCCACAGTGCAGAGGCAAATCACAGCTTGGCGAGGCTGTCACCTGCTTTGGTCTGCCACCACACCCAGGCTCAAGGCCAAGCCCGTCACACTCTAAAAACTATGAGCTGCCTGGGTGTGGTGGTGCACACAAGGTATAATTCCAGCACCCTGGAGGCTGAGGCAGGAGGATCACTGTGAGTTTAAGGCCAGCCTAGGCTACCTAGTGAGACCCTGTTTCAAAAAACAAAATACATATATACTGTGTCCTTTCTACTGCAGACAAGGACAGAATTCCCAGGCAGAGAACACCAAGTTCAGCAGACCCTTAGCCTGTTCCCAGAAGACAAACTCATGAATAGGGACCTGCCACGGTCTTTTCCCTGGTACCATGAGAATTAGCATACAAAAACCCAGGCATGAACGTTACTCTTTAATTTCTAATATTCACAGTTTGCTACTGCCAAATGACCTACAAAGGTAAAACTATGAAACATCTCAATTTTGGGGAGTGCCACTCACCAGATGCCCCGGTCAACTCTCCCAATGCACACAGCAACAAATGCTGAATAAAAACTTCAAGGCATGTTTTTAAACGCATCAAAGAACGGGTAAGTCAAGTAACCAAAGGAGAGGGCAAAAACTAAACAACAGCTGGAATCCAGGGAGTAAGGAAGCTTGGAAATGGGGTGTTGAGAGCGCTTGCTGAACTGAGCAAGCCTGAGCTCCCTGCCCACCAGGAGCTCACAGAAAGGAGGTCACAGGAGCCCTCAGGGAAAGCAGGCTGCGGAAGCCTGCCTCCACCCGATGCTGCCACTGGGTGGCGGTGCCACAGGCTCCCCTGAGAATGTGGAGCCCCAGACAGCCCCAGTACACTACAGCCCATCACACATTTTTACAGTCCAAATCCATACCACATGAAAGGTATTCTTCAGGCAGATGAAGAGATCCCAGAATTATGAGATGTAGACGGAATGCAGAACGAGGGGAGTTCTCATGAATAATGACAAAGTCTAACACAAAGCTAAACGATACCTCATAAAGTTTTTAAAAGAACTAAAACACACCTACAGAATAAAAGTGAAGAAGGCAGTGCCAAGGACTCCAAGTGCTGCGAGGTCCTGAGTGTCTAAGTGTAAAGACACTGATGAAAACTAGACTTTGGAGAATTATGTAAATTCAAAGATGTACCATGTTCATGGATGTAGCTCCGTGTGAAGGTCCCAGGTTCAATCTCCAGTACTGTAACCAAAAGTGGGGAAAAAAAGGGCAAGTAACTGCCAGCTGTGTGGCACTCACTTGCACACCTGGGACCCTAGAGGAGCAAAGGCAAGAGGATGAAAGTAAAATGCAGGTGTGCCCTGTGGGAGAGGTGGCACACAGGGGACTCCAAAGGTCATGGTAACATTCTTTTGGTAAACCAGGTGACAGGACAAGGTGTTCCTTGTACCCTTGTTCTTTATAAACACTTTCTTTTGCATCTATTCAACACTGAACGTAAAACCAATGACAAAACTGAAGAATGTTTTAAACAGCATTTGGAAACATGAAGGGCAACTGATTCAGGAAGCCCAGAGAGCCACTGACAGGGGTCTGGAGCCAAGGCCCCGGAGGAGCAGAGCTGCCCCTCACCCTGGGCCCTGGTGACAGTGCCAGCAGGACGCTGCTTCCCACCGGGCAGGATTGAGAAACTGGACAGTGCCTTCCCTGCAGACAGGAGAGCCGCTTCTCAGAGTGACAGCTCCAGTGCATAAGTGGTGGGGCGAGAGAGCACATTCCACCACCCAGACAGTTTAGGACCTACAGCCGAGCTCGCTTGGGAGTTCCAGCGAACCCAGGCCTGGAAGGTGCCGGCAGCTGAGCCGCATCTGTGCTGCTGCTGCTGCTGCTGCGACTGGAGGGAGGTCTCCATTCTAACCTCACCTCCGCTGGCTTCCTCCAGCGCACAAAGCAAGTCCACAGTGCACGCCCCGGTTTCCCACTTGTGCCTGTGCCTGAGCTGATTACATTATTGAGGTCAACCCTAATTCTCCCAGGGACGGCTAAGCTACGGTCACCCCAAGGAGCTCTGAGAGTGCCACACACCCGTGCTGACGGAACACACGCCCCTGAGGCACACGTTGAACTGTCTCCATGCCAAACACCCTCTGACCTCCATCATGTCAGGCACTTAAAACTGGCCCGGCAGGGCATGGTGGGACATATCTGGATGCTGGCGGGTTACCTGCCCAGCTCACAGAACTCTCAGAACAGTTCCGTGAGGTGGACCCTGTGACCCGGATTTTACAGATGAGGAAACGGAGGCTCAGCAACTAAGTACCTACCCCTGCAGCCAGAGCACCCAGCAGTGCAACAAGGATTCTCATTGGCCCTAGAGTCCTGGCTGCCTGATTCTCTCTGCGCATCCAACGTGCTCTTCCTCCAAATCCCAGCATACCGGTGCTCGGGCCTTCTGCTGCCAGCCAGCCTCCTGCGCATGCCCACAGGCTTGCCGATCTGAGTCACTAAGTTGCTCAAACTTGGCTTGCACTTGTGGTCCTGCTGCCTCAGCCTCCAGAATGCTGGGGTTACAGGACTGTATCCTGCACCCTGGCTATACCACACCTCTTCATCAGACTTCCGGGTATGTTTCTTTCTCAGTACCATGACTATCCACCCACTGAGTTGGGAACCCTGAATGCATAAATAAGCCTGGAGTCTCTCAGCCCAAGCACCATAAATCTACTCACAGTCAGAGCAGCATACTTCGAGGAGATGGAGATCTGGGGCACAAACCCAGCCTCCTTACTTATTCAGTGGACTTCCTCTCAGGTGGGCCTGCACCCCAGAGCCGTAATCAACTACCCTGGATGTCTCAGCCAGTTTTTCCTCCAGTATTGGGACAGGCACGACTCAATTGTATCTGGTTGTATACCAGATGCAATAGTTAGCTTATGTTTGGGAACCATGTTACACAAAAACGTGTCTCTTTTTAAACACCAGAACCTTAAAGGAATAAGTATGTGCCCCTTGCTTTGTCCTTTCCATTTGCCAGACAGATTCACACATGATGGCAGGAGCTGGAGCAGCCAGCATGGACCATGAGATGGATGCCTGAGTTTGAGCAAGGAGAGCCAGGTTATCAAAAAGCCCTGTTCCCAAGTGGACTCCATGGAACAAAGTGACCCACTCCACCAGCACTTTTTAGTGAGGGGTGAGAAATAAGATTCTACTTGCTTTCAGCCACTCCATTGGGGGAGCTGCTTTCTGGATAATTTACTTCTTTCTTTCTTTTTTTTCTTTATTTGCAGTGCTGGGAATTAAACCAAGGGCCTTACACATGGTCTGCAAGCACTTGACCACTGGGCCACACCCAGGCCCCAGTGGAGATTTTAGATGGCGCCTAATTAAAACAGTGGTGTTCCCTGTCCAATAAACCCATTCTGGTCTTTAACAACTTCTCAACCAAACAGCAAAGGGCAGTTTGTCACTACTAATTTGAAAGAAAATTCTCTTTGAAAGGGCTATCTGAATCATGCTGAGCACAGAGGAAGGACAAACTCACTTCCTGCTTGGGTGCGTGGTCGAGCAGGAAGACATACCTCAGATTTCCAAACAGCCCAGGCTGTTCCTCTCCGAAAGTCTGTCTGCGTCAGCCCCAGCTTCGCTCCCCTTCGCCAGCCCGTTACCTGTGTCAAAGAACACAAAGGGAAAATCTGATGAGAACACACAAGGTCCCTCCTCCTGCTCCTGAACAGCCGTCCCTGCATCTACTCATCCTCCACAGCTCCGTGCCTGGTGCACTGCCTGGCGCCAAGTAAGTGCTCACTAAATAGTAAATTTAGTGTCCTGCATGCAGGACACTGTGCGGGACCTGAGACCCGGGACCCGGGACCCAGAACACAGGGTGGATAACCTCAGCCTGCGTTCCCACACTTGGGAAATCCTGCCTGATGAAAAAGACAGACTGTGGGCCAGGGGTTTAGCTCAGCGGCACAAGTGCCTGCCTGGCAAGTGCAAAGTCATGAGTTTCATCCCCAGTACCAAAAAAAAGAAAGAGAAAGAGTGTGACAGTAAGGAGCAAAAGCAAGGGTGCACTCTGTATCCCTGCAGTACAAGCCTTCCTCTGGGACATTCTGGACACTTCATATTTGTACTCTCATCCCAGGTAAGCACATTCTCTCCCGTGACTGTAGTGACCTTTAGTGGACAAAGCTACAGGATCAATACCAGGCAGCTTTACTTAATGTTTTAAAGGCTCCTAATTCCAACATGTTCAAAACTTCTGTATCTCTTTTTTTAGTCTGAGACAGGGATTCACTATGCAGTTCAGGATGGCCTTGAATTTACTCTGTAGCCCAAAATGGCCTCGAACTCACAGCAATCCTCCTGCCTCAGTCTCCTGAATGCTGGAACTACAGGTGGGCAACTCACTGTCTTGCTCAATGTGTCGGCACATGCCTGTAGTTCCAGCACTTGGGAGGCTGAAGCAGGAGGATCGCTGTGAGTTCAAGGCCAACCTGGGCTACAAAGTGACAAAACACACAAAACCAAAAAATCCTCTGTCTGTCTTCACACTGTGGTTGTGAAGTGGCATGGGATAGGAGATCACCTGAGTACAGGAACTCGAAATCAGCCTGGGCAATAGCGGTACTTTTCAAAACACACAAAGCAGAACTGCTTTGTCCTGCTCTCTAGCACAGCGAACCCTACCAATAATCCACCAGTAAAATTTGGGACACTGTGACTCCGCCCTGCCCTTAACTCATCAAAGTAATCGCCAAGTTAGCTGGGCGTGGTGGTGTATGTCTGTGATCCCATCACTCTGGAGGCTGAGGCAGGAGAATCCCTGTGAGGTCACGGCCAGCCTATGTTACACAGTAAGTTCAAGGCCAATCTGAACTACATCATGAGATCCTCTCTCAAACAGACCAAAAAAACCAAAGTAATCGCCATATTTTCTCAGTTCTACCCCCAAAATCATCTCTCCCAACCTCCTGCCTCTAAGCAAAGACCACCCTCTTTTCTCACCTGGATCAGCCTAGCAGCCTCCTAACTGGCTTCCAGGCCCACTCCCTACCAGACCTTGAGAGATCTAACTCACAAGTATGATTCTCTCTAAGTTGTTTTGTTTTGTTTTGTTTTTGAGACAGGGTCTCAGGCTTACATAATCCAGGCTGGCCTCAAACTCGTGGCAATCCTTCTGCCTCAGCTCTCTGAGTGCAGGGTTAGAGACCTCACCTGGCATGAATACATAAATATACTTTTTTTTTTTTTTGATACAGAGTCTCGATCTTCAAACTTCAGCCTCCAGAGCACTGGGATGATTGTTAATGCCTTTTCATTAACTTAAAGCTCAGTTTTCAACTGGGTTTACAAGGTCCCCTCAAGACTTAAGACAGCCAGCTCCCTCAGCTTTTACCTCCCATTTCTCTCTTTAGGTTTGAGCGACTTGAACTTTCTCATACCTTACACCTTCCTTCTCCCCTCCTGCCTCACTTCCCTACACATCCCTTAATACTTCAGCTTTCTGAGGACAGAAGCCTCCCCGGTCTTAACCTCACTGTCAGAGCAAGGCTCCTGTTCTGACGTGTCAGAATTGCCTATTTACCTCTGTCACTCTCACTCTTAGCGCTGGGAGTCTTTTAGCTCTGGGTAACAGAAATACAGTGACAGTCTTGGACGTGGTGACACATATCTATAATCCCAACACTTGGGAGGCTGAGGCACGAGGGTCGCTGTGAGTTCCAGGCCAGCTTGGGATAAACAGTGCATTCAAGGCCAGCCTACAGCACATAGTGAGATCCTTGTCTCAAAAAAAAAAAAAAAAAAAAGACAAACACACAGTAACAGGAAGACAGAAATACTGTAACAGAAAGACAATCATTTATCCTGCAACCTTAGGAGTTCTAAGGACCCATTACCTCGTTTAACCTTTAGACAATCTTAGGAGGTAAAATTTCACCATGTAGTTCAGGCGGGCCTCGAACTGACTACGTAATCCAGGCTAACCTCCAATTTGAGGATTCTCCTGCCTCAGCCTCCTGAGTGCTGGGATTACAGACATGCGCCACCACATTTGGCATATTTTATCATCGCCTCAGCTTTAAATACGGATGAGAGCTAGGCAGAGAAGGCAAACCTAAATTGCCTAAGGAGGCAGCACGGAGCCGTTAACCGGGCACGCTAACTACTACCGGGACTGAGGCCGTGCGCAGCACTGCTGTGCTCGGACCTATCCGGTGCCGAGCCACCGTCTGCGGAACGAATGAATGAGTAAAGGATTCCACACAGGGCAGTGAGGGCCTCCACTGCGCGCGCAGCCCCTAGGCCCTGCACCCCGGAGCCCCCACCCCGGACGCCGGCACCTCGCCCCCAAGCGGAGCAGAACGCCCACCCGCCGCGGCGCGCGGGGTCAAGGAGCGGTGACAGCCCGCGGCGGGGGCGCAATGTTGCCAGCTGCAGTGTCACCCGGCCCGGAGGCTCCTCGCGCTCCCTCACCGGAGCAGCCGGCCCGCCGCCCACTCGCCGCTCGCTAGCCGGTCGGCGCCCCGCCAGAGTATCCCACAGCGTCCTGCACTGTGGGGGGTCCCCGCAACCCCTGTTCCTGTCTCATTCCATTTCCCTCCCCTCCCCCACACAACCGTCCATGGCGTCCCGCCGCGCCTCACCCTCCACTGCCTCTGCCCTGGCTCCCAGGACTCCTCCGGTCCCCGGCGCTTGCTGACCCTCACCTGCCATGTCCCAGACCGCGCCGCAGAGGGAGGTGCATCACGGCCGCGAGAAGGCCAGAGACGGCACTTCAGAGCAGACAAAGGGCGCCGCCATGTTAGAGTCGGGCGGAACCGGCCTCGCAGGCTTCCCGGCCGCAACTTCCGGCGCATGCGCAGCGCTCGTGCTAGCTGCGCGACCGCTGGCGGGCGCATGCGCTTAGTCACCCAAAAGTTCTACCTTGCAGTACTTCTGCGCTTAGGGTTGTCCTCGTGATAACTGCCTTGGGTTTCTATTCTGAATGGTTCAGTAGCAGCTTGCATGTTTTTTGCACTTACTCTGTGCCAGGCACTGTGGTAAGCGCTTTATGTGCGTTATTTCATTAACTCCTTCCACCGACTTACTCAGGATCCACAAAGGTAAATGAATTACACGTAGTAACGCATCTAAGTGATGGAGTAGAAATGGGAACCTAGTTGTGGCTCCAAAGCTGCGGGTTCCATTATAGTTTTTTACTTTATTTACCATTGACTTCTCCCTCACTCTTCGTGGGTTTCCTTCGTTTTTCCTTCTGATTCTTTTATTTCCTCTGATCGGTAATTTTTTGAAGAAATTGTGCCTTTAAATTTTTTATTAGTAAAAATAAAATTAGGCTGGGGATTTAGCCCAGTGGCATAAACGCCTGCCTTGCAAGCCCAGGGTCATGGTTCGATTCCTGGTACCAAAAAAAAAAAAAACAAAAAACAAAAAATTTATTAGTGTATGTTTGCAGTACATAGTGATTACCATTAATGTGGGGAGGACGTTACACGTACATAACACATCTTTCCATCTCCTACCTTCCCCTTCCCTCCCTGTTCCAATTCTTGTTCCCTTTCCCGTTTGCAAAAACTCTGTTTTCGTTCCTGTTCTGTCCCATGCCTGCTTTCTATGTGACTTGCCTCCTCATTTGATCCCCATTTAATCAATATTACCTAATCACTTATGCTCAGAATCTTATCGATTGACCATAGTTTTGTCCCCCTGCCATGCCCCGCTTGTAATTTCCAATTTTTTCCCTGCCTTGTGCCCACTTCACTTCATGGTTTTGCCATATGACAATCCCTAGAAAAGGCTGGGTCCTTAGTAACCCAGTCAGGACTCTGTCTCTGTCTCTGTGTCTCTCTCTCAGAAGCTTTCTTGCCCCCAATAAATATATTCTTCTCTCCACCCCCGAAAAAAGCATACTTAGTGATGACAATCTAAATGTCTATGTATACTATAAAATTCCTGCTAATACTATAATATCTTAAAATGCATTACTTACATGTTTCTTTTTTTATTTGAAGAAAAAAGGATAGAAATAGAATTTCCAAAAAAAACCCCTCTATTTACATTACTTTATTCAATTATTTCTACCCCACTCCTTTCCCTCTCCTCTCTCACCTTCCGTCCATCACGTTTCATTCATTTGAAAAAGATTGCTCTTGGGCTGGGGATTTAGCTCAGCGGCATAAGCACCTGCCTTGCAAGCAGGTGGTCGTGAGTTCAATCCCTGGTACCGATAAAAGAATAAAAAATTTTTAAAAATATAAAAAAAGAAAAAGATCGCCCTACTGCCTCTTTATCTGTCTTCCTTTTCTGTTTTTCTCCTGCCTCATATGAGAGAAAACATGTGATGTCTAAATCTTATTTCATTTGTTTTCAATTTAGTCTCAAACTGCATCCATTTACCTATGAATGCTTCAAGTTTATCTTCTTTATGACAGAGTAGTACTCCATTGTCTTGTTTGGCTTTTGTTTTTGGTTTTTTGTTTGTTTTGTTTTTGTCTTTTTAAAACAGGGTTTCACTTTGGAGTTCAGGCTGAGCTTGAACTCACTTGTAGTCCAGCCTGGCCTTGAACTCCCTCCCATGGATCCTCCTGCCTCAGCCTTCCAAATGCTGAGATTACAGACGTGCATCACTGCGCCCAGCATTCCATTGTGTATAAGTCTTTCCATGATCTATAATTTTAACAACACTCACCATCACCTACTAATTTCTTTGACTTTCAGTCATGTGGATTTTGTGAGAATTCTGACCCTGAGTGAATCCGACTCCCCATCTTGCTTTCCCTGAACCCAAACAGCTAAGCACAGTTGGAAGGAGCATCTCATGGGATGGACTACACCACATGAATTCATGACCACGCCCCAGATGGGACTAGGACAGATGTCATCTGGCCAGCTCAGTCTTTGTCGCAGTGATAACGGAATAAAAAGCCCAGCAGCTGATGTCATCCCTTCTGTTCTGTTTTGTTTTGAGACAAGGTCTCACTATGTGGTGCAGGCTGGCCTTGAACTCACTTCTGTACCCCAGGCTGGCCTCGAACTCACAGTGATCCTTCTGCCTCAGTCTTTACAGTGCTGAATTGAAAGCCTGTGCCACCACACCACACCTAGCATGGGCTCTTCTTTGAAAAAAAATTTTTGACTGTTAGCATGAAATGTATCTTGATATATTTTCAACTGTATAATACAGTATAAAAATCTCTAGATCGGGCCAGTGATTTGGCTCAGCAGCAAAAGCACTTGCTGGTAAGTGCAAGGTCATGAGTTCAGTTCCTGGTTCAAAAAAAAAAAAAAAAAATCTCAGAGTCTGTTATTGTCAGCAGATTTCTATAACGTTAGTTTCTCATAATTGAGACCTTATGCCCACTTATTAGCAATCTTCTGCTTCTTCCTCTCCCACCCTGATAACCATACTTCTACCCTGATTCTGTGAGTTTGACTGTTTTTATTTATTTTTGAGGGGTTTCTTTCTGAGACAGGATCTTGCTATTCTGTTCAGGCTGGCCTTGGGCTCACTTTGTAACCCAAGCTGGTCTCAAACTCACAACAGTACTCCTGCCTCTAAAGTGCTGGGATTACAAGAGTGCACCCTGGTTTATTTGTTTTTTGAGTGTTGTGTTTTGTTTGTTTGAGACAGGATATCACTAGGTAACCTGGGCTGGCCCCAAACTCATGGTGATCCTCCTGCCTCGGCCTCCACCATGCCTAGCCAAGGTTAACTATGTTTAAATACACCATATAAGTGGAATCATGCGGTGTCTTCTCATGGCTGGTTTGTTTCCTTGGTGTATGCCCTCCAGGTTCATCATTATTGGTTCACAGAGCATATTAAAAGTGAATGCTAGGGGCTGGAGATTTAGCTCAACAGCATAAGTGCCTGCTTTGCAAGCAGGCAGTCATGAGTTTGATCCCCAGTACCGAAAAAAAAAAAAAAAGAATGCTAGAGGCTTTGGGTCTACACTAGAGGAAGTAGTCCTGCTGGGGCGGTGGTGAACACCTATAATCCCGACTCTGAGGAGGCTGAGGCAGGAGAATCACAAGTTGAAGGCCATCCTGGGCTACATAGGTTCAAGCCCTCATTGAATCACAAAGAGCCTGTCTCAAAAAAAATTGTTTCCCCTGGTAGCTGCACAATTTTGTATTTCCACCCACAGTGCTCAAGATTTTCAGTTTTTCCACATTCTTACACATACTTATCCTTGGCCTTTTTTTTTTTAAACAGAGAAAATTATAGCAGAAGTGATAGAAGTCATCTAACTTCCCAATATTAAGTGCAAATCTATCTCTGTATTGGTCTGTGTGGAATGTGGTCAAACAGGACTCAGCATCTAATCTTTCCAGAATCTAAAAGGCTACAATTTTATCTCCTCGACTCAGCCACAGTGAGATCTGGAAGGCGGAAGCAAGGTAGTTGCCATAATCCTGTGTTTAAGAGAGAGATCCTGCTGCCATCCCTGCCCCCCAGGTAGGTTGTTTGTTCCCAGTACTGGGGTTTGAGCCTAGGGCATTGCAATCTGGGCTCACCAGTGGCCCAGAGATCAAAAAGGACACCAGAAAGGTAACCCTGTCCCTGCTAGGCTGTGGCGGACTGACAACTGGTGGGCAACTTTAACGCCCAGTGGAAGTGAGTGGGCGTGGTGCTGGGTGTGGAAGGTCCACTTGGGGATTGTTGCCAGCCACCAAAAGAGCTGGAGAGGAAGACATAGTATTGTTGGCTCTCCTGGAGGGGATTGTTGCACGTCTTTCCTGATATAAACATGGCTGTTCTCATCATTGGAGGAGCTCAGGACCATGTCACTGAGAATGGCTGTGGTTCACTTTGGGGGAGCTCTGGCCCTTACTTTGAACATTGCTTCCTGGCTCCAGTGCAGACCCCCCAGTCTACTGATACTGACCCTTCATCCCACTGGCACAGACTTTCTAGCTTCCAGTGCTGACCTTTGGACCTTCCCAGTGCAGGTCCATGACACAGACTTGCATGAGCCATTGTCATGGGCTTTAGGTCTTCAGTTGGATATTGCCACCGATCCAGGCCCTCAGCTGGATTCTTTGGGTCTTTAGTGTGTGGACAGATTTCCTGCACTTTTTTGTGTTTGAATCTTTGAGTGACTATTATAAAATAATTCTATGAATTAGGCGTCCTGTTTAAATTGTTTCCCTTGCAAACCCTGACTGGGAACATAGGCAGAACCAATATTCTCTAAATCAAAGTAGTTCCAAACCTGGTATATATATATTTAATGCAATCTCAATCAAAATCCCAATAGCATTTCTCATAGAACTGGAAGAAATAATCCTAAAATTCTTGTGGAACCTTAAGAGACCCAGAACAGCAAAAGGAACCCTGGGAAACAAGAACAAAACAGAAAGCATCACAATCCCTGATCCAAAGTTACAGCTCAAAGCCACAGTGATAAAAGCAGCATTTCACTGGTCAGAAACAGACACATGGATCAACAGAACAGAGCAGAGCATGCATGGACAATCCCAGGCACTTTCAGTTATCTGGTCTTTGACAAAGGGACCCAAAATCTACATCAGAGGAAAGATAATTTCTTTAATGACTGAACGTTGGAAAAACTGACTATCCCCGTGCAGAAGATTGAATCTAAGGGGCTGAGGATTTAGCTCAGTGGCATAAGCACCTGCCTTGCAAGCAGGCAGTCCTGGGTTCGATCCCTGGTACCGATAAAAAGGAGAAAGACAAAAAAAAAAAAAAAAAAAAGATTGAATTTAGACCTCTATCTCTATGACTAGATTAAAGTCAAAATGCATCCGCAATCTAAACAAAACTCTTGCTGGGCATGATGGCACATGCCTGTAATTATAGTCATTGGGAGGCTGATGCAGGAGGATTGCTGTGAGTTCAAGGCCAGCCTGTACTACACAGCAAAACTTTGTCTCAATCTCTCCCCCACCAATAAATAGAACTTTTTTTTTCTTTTCTTTTTTTTTTTTTTTTTTGGTACCAGGGATTGAACTCATGATCACGCGCTTGCCAGGCAGGCACTTATGCCGCTGAGCTAAATCCCTGGCCCTTATTTTTCTTTTTTTGGTATAAAGGTTGAACTAGGGCTTCATGGTTGCTAGGTGGGCACTGCACCACTGAGCTATATCCCCAGCCCAAAATAGCTTAAAAAAACCTTTTTGATCTTCTTTGAGATAGAGTTTCATTATGGAATTCAGGCTGGCCTCAAACTTGCAGTGATCTCAGTAAAATTCTTGAAGACATGTGGTAAAAGAAGAAAAAAGGAAGACAAATTCGTGTTAGATTAATGCTATAATCATAGATTTGCGTGTCTCACTTCCAAGATCTCTATTTAGTCAAAACAGCAGCAGCAATAACAACAAATCAGACACAAGCTAAAATAGCCAAAAAGCCTCCTGGTGCCTTTTTGCTCTAGGAAAGTTTACAGCATTGAAGTCCAAGAAGAAGGCATCTCTGGCTGGTATCCAGACTGGGTAGAAGCTGGATTCTGTGGCACCGTAATCCCAGCACTCCAGAGGCTGAGGCAGGAAGATTGAGTTTAATCCTAGCCTCGGCAACTTAGTCACTTAGCAAGACCCTGCCTCAGGGGGCTGGGGATTTAGCTCAGCGGCATAAGCACCTGCCTTGCAAGCAGGCGGTCGTGAGTTCAATCCCCAGTACCAATAAAAAAAAAAAAAAAAGAATTTGATATATAGATAAGTGAGGCATATAGAATTCCAATTAACCATAATCAGAAAAAATTATACAAATGCATATAATAGTCAAGATTTCAGAAATTCAACATGAGAGCAGAATATTAAAAGCTGTTAGAGAAAAAAAGAAACAAGCAAAACCCATCATAATCACAACAGACTTCTCGTCACAAATTCCTGAGTCAGGGAGAGTTTAAAATGAAATTTTCAACCTCTAAAAGAAAGCAGCTTCCAGGCCAGATATTTAGCTCAAAATGCTGCATATGAGAAACACATTTTATTTTGTGGGCGGACTGAGTATCAAACTCAGGACCTTGCACTTGCCAGCAGGTGCTTATGTCGTTGAGCTAAATCCCCAGCCCATGAGAAACACATTCAACTCACAAAGAAACTCATAGGCAGGAAGTCAAGGGATGGAAAATGATACTCCATGCAACAGGAACCCAGAAAAAGCAGGGGCAGCTATTCTATTTGCAGACAAAGTGGAGTTCAAGTCAGGACTGATCAGAAGAGACAAAGAAGGTCACTATATACTTGTTAAGGAAGAAATTTTTAAAAAGCACTGATAGGTGCTGGTACTGTTGTCATGGGGGACCTCAAGACCCTACTGTCACAAATAGACAGACGAACTTGACCAAAAAGTCAACAAAGAGGTATCAGAACTGAACCACTTCCACAAAAAAGGTTTTAGTAGATGTCTACAGAGCGTTCCACCTCACAACATCAGAATACACATTCTCCTCAGCTGTGCACAGGATGTTCTCCAAAGCAGCCCACACACTAATTCATGCAACATTCTTAACTAAGTGCCAAGGAGGTAAAATGATCCTGTGCATACTGTCAGACCATAGTGAATGGGAAACCGAGGGCAAAAGCAACCACAAGAACATAAACACATGGAAATTAAGTAATATCCTCCGGAATAGCCAATGGGACACAGATGAAATTAAAGGAGAAGTTACACAATTTCTACAATTAAACAATAATGCCAATACAATATACTGGAACTTACAGGACACAATGGAAGCAGTCCTACAAGGAAAATTTATAACTGTGAATTCCCATCTTAGAAAACCAGAGTGAGCACTCGGCAGGTTGAGGCAGGAGGACTGTTGTGAGTCTGAGACCAACCTAGGCTACAAAGTGAGCTCAAGGCCAGCCTGAACTGCATAGAGACCTGACTCAAAAAGACAAAAAAGAAAAAAGAAAAAAAGACAACACAAACACACACAAAGAAAGAAAGAATAAATGAATGAATGAAAGAAAA